GCTCAACCAGAATGGATCAATTGCTACCAGTTCCAACACCATCATGTAATTATTGTTGTTGGAAGAATTGAAAATTTCCTCATCACCTCCAATGGCTGAACATTTGTAACAACTCTTTAATATTTTCCACCAATAATTGATCTCCTTTTCAAACCAATCAGTTAGCTTAGAATCAATCCTACCAGAACCACTATCTCTCTTCGTCAAATTCAAAACACAAATCTTGTGGCTTTACAAATTTTCATGTTTCTTAACTGTTGTTGCATTTTTGCCAACACAGATATGCTTCTGAACAATCTTCATGATGCACAATGTACAGCAAAATTCATGGTCGTTTTTATCCAATTACCAGTTTTTTGAAGAAACTTTTTGGTAAGAAAACCAAGTGCAATCTGAGTATTGTCATTTTGATTCCCTGAAATTAACATTGTTAATTTCCCAGAACACAGGATCATTACTTACAGTAGTTAATTCTTTCATGAACATGACACCACTTCAACATATTCAACAGCTTTACAGATATTTTCAAGTATCATAAAAATTTGCATAAACACTACTTGAACATGATACTTTATCCTTATATTCAACTGTCTTATAAAGATTTGAATCTGAAGTCCTGTCACTGTCGCTTTCTTTAGCAGTAAGAATGAATTGACTTTCATTGTTTTACAAGCAATCTCTTCTTGTTTTACACTTTTTTTCTTGGGTCTACTTTTGGTACTGAACACCACTCAATTTATTTTTACCATCACTCATATTAAAGAAAAAAACTTGTGAAATAACAACAGTACTGACTTCAATCTTGAAAAAAACAAGCGTACCCTGTACTCAATAACGGATAACTAGTTATTGAAAAATATGTGAATAATTAGACACAATGCAATATGGAAATAAGCAGGAATATCAGAAGCTGTAAATGTACATTTAAGCTTGGGGCTATCTATAGTATGTGTTAGTAAGTACGTTCACTTGCTCAACCACAATAAAAGGGGAGCAAGAAATCCTAAAATGGTCAATCAGAGAATGGGTGCATCACATGACACAGAAATGTGAAGTTTGAGAACATTTAAATATTTCCTTTTGAGATTAAAACATATAAGAATTTGAATTATAAACAACACTTTGATTCCAAATTTATTGACAAAAATTTATAAATAAAATGATTTAATTAAATTTTGAATGTAACTGTATAAAAGACTGTGACATGAGCACTTTGACTCTACATCCCTATCTGAATTCAAAGGGATAATCCAGTGGAGTGAATGTTTCTTCTTTTTCATTTAGCAATGATTTTCTTTGTTTCTGGAAATTTACTGCCCAAGACGGTTACCTACAGTGCTTTGGCATAAATCCAACCCTGGTAACTACAACACTGTAAAGTGTGGCTCATCTGTAAAAAAAAAAACAACAAAGAGTTTAGTAATTCCTTATGTTTATCCATTGCACATGATCTTGGCATCATTACAGCTGTTCTGTTGTATGTCTTGATATGAGTGGAATGCATGCTATTGGGCATCTGGCATATACAATAGGTATAAGAAGTTTGTTCATAACTGTCTGTACACTCAGATGGGATCCAGTTGCAATTGTAAATGTCTGATTCAGTCTTATAACTTGAGATTGTAGTTTGTTACAATCAACAGTTAGTGGCCACCTGCTCTAGTTTTGATAATTTATTCAGGTGTACAAAACAACTGTACCATTTGTTAGAAGCAGTTACACATTGACAGCTAAGACAAAATTGTATGAAATTTATTAAACATAAAACGTAGGCTGAATGACTAATTATTTTTCATTTCATATCAAATATTTGATGATTATGTGTTTGATTCACATAACAATGAGGGGATGACTGACATTATTTAATCATTTGGTAATCTTATCATAGCTAAAATACTACAAATTTGATTATTCTTTAATTGTTTTGTGCATGTTTTTAAACAGTACATGGACATGAATTATTCTGTGTTTCAGACTTGCCTTTCATCCTTTTCAGTTCAAACAAATCAAGTAACTATGAATAAAAACTTACTTTGAAAAAAATACATCATTTTCATAATTGGTGCCAATATTTCTTTTCCCACAAAACATTTAAGAAACTTCACTACGCTTCAAAATGTTGAAAGAAGTTATATCAGAGGGGGAGATTTTAAAGAAGGATGTTATATCAGAGGGGGGGGGGGGGGTAAAGTTGTATCACTCCTTTTTTAGAAGAAATGAACTTATAATACTAGTTTGTATGAGTTATTGATTATATTAGATAATGTACTAACTATTACTCATGTAACTATTATCAGCTAGAAATTTTATAACCATAAAACATGATGTTTTTCATAGTTTTTCAAGTGATTAACAACCATTTGAGATTGATAAACCACAACAATTTTTTTCTCGTATTTATGATTAATTAAATGTAAATGTTACAGAGACTCTTGACAAATTTTACAAAGTTTGATAGTTTTTAACTATTAAAGAACTATTTTATCAAGTATGTGCTTGCTAAGTTTGTTTAAAAATATATCTGTCTGTAACCACTTTATATCTTCTTCTTCAGATGGTTTTTCTGTATTATTATACTTGAACAACAACTGTCATTTTATCCTTACAACTCCTGCTAACATTCTCTGTAATTACGTGTATTTGTAAGAAATTCCAATAAAACTTGAACATTTTTCATTCTTTGGCTAATGTCTGTTTCTTTCTGTCTTTTGACTGTATACTAATTTTCCTTTAAATTTTTGCCATTTTGTATCTTTATAAACACTGTGGATGCCAACTAACAACAAACCCCTATCTACTATGAACACTACTCAAGTCTATGGGATATACTGAAATATTAAGCACTGTTAAGGCACTGTTTTTTGACAATTGAAATGCAGTATATATTAAAACTACTTAAGTCATCATAGCATTTGAAACATATGTTGTTTTATGTTAATGGAAATATCTTTCTGAGTTTATTTAATGTAAAAGGTGAAAGTTTCCAAAAAAAAATATTAGCATGGAAAAAAATATTTAGGAAGGACCAAGTTAATAGTCAGGCCAACAATTTTAGGTTTGTATACATAAACACAATTGTCTATCAGTGACAGCTTGGAATTAAATATTATCATTATTACTATTTTTAATATCTACCACTTTTGTAACTCACTAACATAAAGTAGCTTAATTAAAATGCCAAGTAAAGATGATTATTAATAACCTATCAAAGAATGGAAGTTATCTATATAAGCTAAAGCTAAAAGTAACTTGCAAGATAATGAAGTCAATTCTATATAACAAACTGGCCAGAAGTCAACAGTGACACACACAAAATCTATAATTCTTAGTTTTTGCTATTAACAATATTTTTAGCAGGAAATTAAATTTAACAGTAAGCTTAAAATTATCTACAGTTACAAATCTGTCTTGTAGAAAGTTAAATATAACAGAAATGTTTTAGTAAATCAACAAATATGGCTTTGTACAACTAAATGGTACAACTAATAAAAGATGTAAGGTTATTGTATTTATATTCTGTAAATTAATTAATATTTCAAACTGTCAGTGAACAAGGTAAGTGACTGTAAGATAAAAGTACATAAATATCCTGTAAAGATTACTTATTAGCATTACTATTAGGGAACAATGAAACTATTTTTAACAAACCTTTATATGAAAAAGCTGACAAGTGAAAAAATGATGACAAAACCTTGTCGAAACGTTGTACATTTGCTGTCATGTTAAACTTATATTAAAGTTTTTCTTCATTACCCATTTAAGCCGTCTCCAGCCATGATTGAAACTAATGCTGAACAAGATTACATTATTGTTTATTAAGTACTTATTCTTCTTAAAATATGTACCAATCCTATCTTCATGTTAGTTAAGTACCAATAAAAAAACTTCACTTATATTGTTGCATGTTAAATACTTACCCAAAAATCTCTGCAATTACAATAATTCTGGAAGAAACAAAGTTCAGTTTGATTTATGTACTTCTAATTATTAATTTAAAAATGGTAGTTAAGTCTCTTTTCTGAAGCACTTCAAATTATTGAGTATGATTATCATACTACATTATGATCAGGTACTATCCATACTCTTAGTAAGAACTTTTGTAAGTGAACAATGAAGGCTTGTACTCTTTGATAGCTCAGTAGTATAGCACTGACCTTGTTAGTCAGAGATCCTGGTTCCAGAGTCCGTTTTCACTTATTGGCTTTTTCAAGGTATAAAAAAAAAGCTAATGAAGATATTTTCATTACTTGATATTAGAAGTGTGTAAATATTGTTTGTTTTATTGCTTTTGTTTGCACATAAAGGTTGTGAATATTGCTAATTTTAAGTACTGTGGTACATAATTATTAAAACTGTCAACTTTCATTACCAGTTAAGTACGTATTGTAGAGATTTGTTAATCTTTTTTGTTAGAAATAAAGAGATTATTATGATCATTCAGTATGGTTGTTAGAGACATAAATTGTTAATTTTCAAAAGTATTGTTTAAATGCATGAAATGTGTATTAAGAAAATAAATGGTAGTAGTATTAATGCAATATATATATATATATATATAACTGAGATGAGAAATATTAAAAATTGTTCTTAGTAATCATGTTTACATGATCATTTCAAAAAAGATGAAATCGGCACTTTTTACTTTAGTGTAGCCTAGGGTCATAATGAGGTGATTCTCGAAATGTTTAAACTATAGTTGAGAGCCCCGAAACATAGCAAGCTCAAGGATTTTGTATATTTTCTCTTACAAGAAATATAAATGTTTATCTGTTTATCCATTACTAATATTCTTATAATAAATTATTAGAATTGATAAAGAGTGAGAAAGTATGTGTTAAGTGCTTTTGTTTCAATAATGTAAAAGTTGTTAACAGTTTTAGTGTTCATTAGCATTCTATCTGTCATACTGATATTTTATTTCTAACCTAGGATAAGCTGTGATAACATAATTGAGTATGCATACTTTCAGTTATAATAATATTTCTGTATTTCTGTTTCAGTACCATTTAAGAAACTTGTCTACAGATTGTGGAACCCACTTGTATTTATCTTACGAATATCATAAAGTGTTATAAAACTAAGAAGACCCACAAGAATAGAATGAAATGATCAAACAAATCCTGGCAATCTGCTCTTACTGGTTGAAATCTGAAGACTTGCTAGATTGTTCTTGCCTTTCACACATTGTCTAGAAAGTAAATTACGTTAGTCACATTGCTGAAGGAAGCTTGTACAGTCATGGAAAACAACAAAACACTTAGTCACTTGTGAGGTTTCTAAAACATTCGGCAAGCACTGGAATAGCATTACATGATAGGTACAGTTGTATGTGTAATATCAACTGGAATTTCAGAAATCAAGATGTAGCTCGTAAGAAGTTGCTACATGTGGCAGGAAATTAATTCAGATCCATTACTTACAAAGAATGTTAGAGAAAAATATGAACAATAATTAGTTGAAGTATCTCCTATAGAAAACAGTTTAAAATTTGTTGTAACAAACGTAAGTCTTATTTCTAAGTTCTTTAATGTTTAATGTGCCAGTAGTTGTGTTAGATGCTGTGATTTTATCTGTAGGTTATTTGCTTGTATTGTGTTTTACAAATATTCAACAAAGAAATTTTCTAGTACTTTAAGAGAAAATTTTACTTCTTCATAATTGATGATTTTCAGTCATAAATGTACTTTTTTCACAACTTTTACTAATTAATAAGTTGAGTCATTTCCACAACTTAATATTACAATCTCCCATAACACTGAGTGACACTACAGCCAGTCATGTCAATAGGCAATACAAACAAGTTAAACAATCAAGTTTTGTGTTCTTCACATAACACAAAGTGTTATTTCAGGTTTGTGCTCTGTAAGAAAATACATATTGTATTAATGTCATAGCCCAAAAATAAATTCCAAGTTATTTTGTCACAAAAATGATGTGAAAATATTATTTATTAAGTGTGCCACACTATAGAAAAATTACCGATACAGTTCTTCCTAAGAAAATTACTTATCCAAAACATCTCAGATTCCTATTAAAATGACAATTTTGCATCAATTTAATGTTAGTAGAGCCACAGGATAGGACAAACAGTGGATTTCTTTGACTACAGATGTTTGCTCAAGGTCATAGCTAATTCTTGCAACTAATCTACCTGCATGCTATTTAGTTATAGTATTGATTTTGCGGACCCAAAAAAAGAAAGACGTTGTTACACTAAATTTTTTTTCTTTCCCATGGTTTTTCAAAATGGGGGATTGCCTTATATTCAAGATCACCCTATAATTGGGACAATACTGTAATTGGAATTAAAAAATTGAAGAAAAAGGGCTCTTTTAAAACACAACTCAAAAATATCAAAAAATTATTACATAATTATCATGCAGGTTGATATTAAATCTAGAATTCAATCATATGAGCTTTCCAATGGTTTCCATTGCCTTTTGTCCTGCTACAAACAAGGGTAAGATCTTAATGTCTTTCTCAGGTGACTTTTTATTAAATCAATCAGGTAAAAATATTTGGAATTCATTCCAGTTTTCATCCAATAGCACAACTACAATTCTATCAGTAAACTGAGTTTTAACTATTTTTATTTCAGAGACAGGGAATTCATCTCTTGGGTTTAGTTCACTCAATTTATGAGTTTTGGTACAGTGAAATGTTCCAATAGCATTAGGTTTTTTTTCACTTCTTTCATTTATATAAGAGAAAAGTATTAATACCATCTGATAATATATATCTTTTGTCATTATTCAAACCTAATGTTATTTTGTTAACTTGAACAGAACATATTCCAAAACATACTTACCTCCACTGTCACTTATAGTTATTACTCGACTGCCAGGGTTCTTTCTTTGCCCATCTAAGCGTTAGTCGGATTTTTTCTTGCTTACTTTGAACGTTATCATGCTATCTAGTTGATTTCATAACAGTAATAATGAGCTGATTATGGTATGAATTCCTTATTGGGTCTCCTATCCCACCCCTGATATCTAGTGTTGCACGACAATTGGGGGGGAGGGGTCCCTCTCATATGAGATGGATACATATTCAGATCTGTGGTGGTCCTCTGAGGTTGCATTCGAGGGCTATTCTCGACATTTTGGAGAGACTTTAGATTCACTTTCTCCTGCCCCCTTTTTTTTTAGTGTGTTGGATTTTCATTCCCCTTGTGGGTCAGTGGTAAGCTTACGGAATTGCAGCACTGTGATCTGGGTTTGATTCCCTAGAGTGGACGTGGCAGATAGCCTGTAGTTGCTTTGTGCTCTAACAAAACTTATTTTACCATGGTCTTTAAATGACCTAAGAAAAACTAAAAAGAGGCCATTTGGGATAAGCTGTCTTTAATTTGTTTTTCTTCTGTTGGTTCTTCAAGTGTGTGATGTTTTGGGCTTTTTCCTGGTTGCAACTAAATGGTCTGGGAGCCAATTTTTTTTTCTTTCTCTACACTGAAACTGTGGTTTATGTTGGAAGTTTTACTTACTTCTTAATTATGTGAAGGGACAGTTAAGCCTTATCTGACACGTTGTCAGAACTTCGTGATTTCGCCTACTTGTGGAGGCATTTTTCCATCTCTCAAATAATATCTGCACCTCACATTTTGGGGTTCTAAGGTGAAGTTTGTAGTTCACCTATATAGGTCTATGTCCTCTGATGAGACAGAGTAAGTCTGTGAAGTTACAATTCAACTTCATCATTTTGTTTCTTTTCACTTCACTTTGTTAGAAGACTTTCAGGATAACCAGTTTCATTGAGGACAAGCTGGATCCATTGTTAGCATGCACGTTGGTTCAATTTTCGGCTTCTACATTCCTCCTGGTTATTGTTGGAGTCTCGGATTTCATTGGCTCCTACGGGAGAGTCATAGTACCACCCCTATTCGTGAGTACTGATTCCCAACATCAGCTCCTTGGTACAATGGTACTCAAAATAGATTCTGTCTATAACCAAGGTTTCTACTGCTTAGTCAGATTGCCAGTAGTGTTGGTCATTGTTGTATACCCTTAGGAGCTGTGGGGGCTCAGTTCCAAGAATTTTTGGATGTGTGGTAATCTTAACCATTGGTAAAGGAGCTTTGCAGGTCCTTGGGTCACAATTGGTCATTCAGTTCACATCTTCCCTACTATTATCCACCCTACCTATAGGGTTTCCATCAGGATTTGGAACTTAGTTCTAGTGTTATTTGAGTCTGGTTGGTCTGGGGGTAGTGAGAGAGTCGGGCTAGTTCTTCCGAGTTTTTATTCCTGTTAGTTGTTGGGCCTATGAAGACAGGAGACTGGTGTCTTGACATTGATGTTCCTTGTTTACACCAATGCCTAAATTCTCCAAGGTTCACAAGTTAATCATTTCACAATCTCTGATTTTTTTCTACTCGGATTGTAGATGTCCAACTTGGTTGTAGTCAGCTCCTATCTGCACTTTGCTTCAGCATTGGAATCCCACCACAATTGCCATTTGTGATGCACAAGGGTCAGGTATTGCAGTTCCAGGATTTTTCCTTCAGTCTCGAATAGGCTTAAGATCAATTCTGCTGTCTCGTATGAGTTTTCTCATCCCTTCATTCCATTGTATAGTGCACACACTACTTCATGGACAACTGGTTACTGCTGACAACATCTTGTCAACTGTTAGACCATCACATCCTGCTCCTACTTTCAGATACAACCAAGGCAGGCTTCTTTTTTGGGACTGCAACATCTATTCTTGCTCCAATTCAATATGTCATCAGTCTGGGTATTTTTTATTTCTCATCTCATCTCTCAGACCGGCTCAACTGTCTCCCATTCCATTGTACGAGCATGCTAATGTGTACTTCATGATTTATTCTCCTGAAGATGGTGGAATTATTTCCATGAAACATATAGTTTTTAAAGTTTCTTTTAACTTATATTTTTTAAACTGTGCAAGTAAAAAGCTTTGTTGTCTCATTTTATTAACTTTATTTACATTTTTTGCACAAGAGCTGTCTGTTTTACGTACTGAACATAGTATTTCTTTATAAAAGTTATAAGACCTTTTATATACTTTTTTGTAGCAGATATGTTTGGATAGTTACTTCAATGATATTGGCTGTTAGATTTAATACTGTTGATAGATGAATGGTAATCACTGCTAAACCAGAAACACTGAATAAAATTTTAAATTTATCATAACTATATCTATATTAATTTCAGAATAGAATTTATAACTTTTCTGACATACAAATATTTTCTTCTCTAAATACTCCTCCATTATTTATTTTTGATTAAAATTCTTTCTTTAACTCATTTAAGGAGATTTGAAATCTAATAATAAAAACATAATATTTTTTGGCAGTTTTTTTTTATATATTTGTTTGAAATCATTAACATTCTTAAATCCATCAATTTTTCTAATCTGTTTTATATATCTCTCTCTTGAAGTTTGTAAAAGATGAAAAGTAATAATTACAGTTCCTTCTGATGTTAATTGGAGTTGAATAGTAAGATTGCAATAGATAAATTATTGATACATATTTCTTTTTTCCTTTGGTAAAAAAGTCAACTATTTTTTTCTTTTATGCAATCATTAAGAATGATAAGATTGTTGTTCCCTGCATCTGAGCTATCAACATGTATCATATTTTCTAACTTATTATAGAATAATGTTTCTTTCTTAAATTTGTCTCTTATTTTGATAACTGATAGATTGCAATTCATCTACACCCATATCATAAGAGATTGTAAAATTCTCTTGTAATTTTTCATATCTAGGTTTAGCGAAACATATATTTTTCCAGAACCAGATGCACGAACAATTAAACGTCTGAATGGATGTCTAGGTAGCAAAGGATTTTGATTACACATTCAAAATCTTCTGGTATTGTGTAATCTTTAGCTTCCATCATTTATTTAACTACAAGTTAGATGCTTTGAACTATAAGTTCAATATAAAGAAATGATCAGTGAAGAAGATAGAAAATATATAAGTTCATTAAAATGACTATCAAAATTAAAAGAAATAAGAATGAAGCACAAGCTTTAGGTAAAGTAGGATAAGAAGAATCAACAACAGAGTTTTATAAACCAGTAATTCAAGAAAAAAAAAGGTATCTCAAGCTATTCCCTTAGAAGTTAAAAAACGAGAAAAGATTTCAAAGCATTAAAAGATGCAATTCATAACATATAAGGCTTATAACACTAAAAACCAAATTTCGATACATGTGTTGGGCGCAGTACAGATAGCCCATTATATAGCTTTGTGCTTACCTAAAAACTTATTTTTAATCAACAGTTATCAGAGAATCGAAAACATATAGGGTTGGTTTAGATGAAGGATTAGATGTTTCATTTTTAGAGTAACAAGAATTTGTATTACCATCCGAATTAATTAACAAACCTAATTTGATTGAAAAAAGCAGGAAAAATAAGTGGTTAGTAGAAAAGGTAAAACGAATACTAAAATTTCAAAAGAAGAAAAAAAAATATTCAGAAAAACTTCAGCCATGGGAGTAGCCCAAGCTTTGGTGGTGGGTGGCGATGACTAGCTGCCTTCCCTCTAGTCTTTCACTGCTAAATTAGGGATTGTTAGTGCAGATAGTCCTCGTGTAGCTTTGCACGAACTTCACTACAAACAGACATTCTACTGAAAAGTGCAGTTTTATGTTCCAAGATGTAGAATTAGATTATTATAGACATTACTCAGATTTGTTAGTAGCCGGATTAAATGATACCAATAACTGAATGTTTAGTAAGCTATACCAATTACGAAGGATTGTATCCAATAATTTGTTTCAACATTTCGAACCACGTTTCTTATAATAATAATAATGTGACAAATTTGAAGATTAGGTTCTTTTGGCTTTCAGAAAAAGTGCAGTAAAATCATATGGATTTCCTTATTAGTTGAAAAAAGAAAAGGTGTAATGAAAGTTTTGAACCTACAAAAACTCTCCAATAATAATAAATGTGTTTGTGGTTTCCATATGGTAATCAAGCATCTTACAAGTCATCCTAGAAATGGCTTTAAATTAACTGATAATGGTAATTATGATATTGAAAATAACTAAAAAATGTCCAGGAGGCAACTGATAATAATGAAGCTATTAATATATCACTAAGGGATGAGTATATTCATAATAAAACCAAAATTGATGACAAATCTGAATAAGTTCCTCATAGAAATAAAAATGGTTTATATGTATCAAAAGGATTCTTATTAGTAAACAATAATTTTGATGCTGATAGTAAAAATAGGAAATGATGCGAAAAAAAAAGATTAAAAATGTCGATGATCCTTCCACAAAAAACAATGCTGCTACTAAATCTTACATGAATTTAAAAGAAGATAATGTAACTAGCAGAAAGCTTGCATTCCATGCTATTGGAAATTTAGTGACGAAAGGTGATGTATCATTTAAGTATATATTTTTCATACAAATAATCAATGTGAGTTTTTAAGATATAAATATAGTACAGAAACAAAACTTGTGCATTTTACTTTTTAAATGATTTGGGGAATTTTTTGACAATTTTGAAGTTGTGTTTTAAAGGGAGAGTCTCTGGAACTATTACTTTATATGAATGTCTCTCTAAAAGAAAGAAAATTTTTTTTATTGGTTGAGTGAATAGTAAACATTTTACAACAATTCTGCTCAGGTTTATTTATTGTATTTTTTCACATCTAAAAATTGAATAGAACTAATGCTGATGAAAAAGGTATATTTAAGATGTGAAGAAGTTGCATTTTATGTTGAATTATGGAGTCAGTAGACTCAAATAATTCTTAGTTTGAAACTATTATCTCAATAATAAAATTATACAATTTCAGCATTTCTAGAATTATAATACTGTTTTTTCTTAACTTATTTTCTCAATAATTACAATCTGAGCACATATAATGTGATAAATGACACACCCGATCTGACATTTGCATGTTACAATCTCACAGTAAATTCTTATTAGTTATTTTGAAATAAATGTATATGGCTGATTTAATAAACTAGTCTAAATCAAGAATCCATACTACAGAAAACTTTATTGCATGGTATTCTTGCTTATATATATATACATACATAAAGTGCTATGACAAGCTATTACAGTATACAGGTGTCAATCATCTAACACCAAAATATTAGTTCTAAAAATCATCAAGATTTTCTGTTTCCTGCCATGTATTCCTTCTTTATGTCTTCTCGATCTTCTGGCCATGGCATTTCAGGTTTAATTCCTTTTCTTCTTCTGTCTACTTGCACCTTTAGCTTGAGGATATAATAAAGTTTATGACCATATTTTTAAAAAGTGGAAACTTATTTAGAAATTTCTCTAACAAGTTATTCTTTGCATTGTAGCTCTTTTGGGCTACACAAAATATTCAAACTTGTGATGGGATTGATACTGTGTAGCCCCTTTTCCTAAAAATATTTTGTCTTTTACATTATTAACTACTATCATAAGGTTATAGAAAAATACAAGTTCAACTGGATTTCTTTAACCAAAATACAGAAATTCTGTTGGATTTATATCTCAATTTTAGAAGTTCTGGAGGATCAATAAAAATGGACATTTAAACAACAATTCTATTAAATACACTTTTTAAACCATAAATGCAAGCATATAACTGGAATTGTAACATATTCCACATTAAAATAACTTGAAAGATGTCAAATTCAAATTAACTTGTACGACTTAACAACATTCCTAGTTCACATCTTTCACTAAGTCTCTATTAATCAAAATCTTACATTTAGCACCTACTAAAATTATTAAATGTTTAATTTATTCTTGTTTATAAAAAGACTTTTAAAATACTTAAAAGGTATTCTAGTTTGTGGTGGTGGCTCAGCCCTCTCAAAAATTTTGGGAAAAAAATGTATAATTAATTATCCTCATAGATAGATTAGTAAATTAAAGGTTCAAGTTTCTAGCTCCAATGTTTTTCACAATTTGGTCTACTTGAACTAGAATTGCTCATGTTATTAGGCAACTTCCAATACCTTTAGCTTTTATTCTTGTCTACCATGTATATATAAAGTTATTTAGCTTCCATATTTGTTTACTAGGTAACTAAGTACAGGCCTGACTTTGTTGTTTATGAAATAGCTTATGTCGTGATTATTAAGTATATACTGAAAGCTTTAATGTACATTCTTGTTTACTACATATTTATCCAAATCTTTAGAGAAACAAATTTTTATTTAGTCTTGGTTAAGTACCTAACTAAATGCCATGTTTATTTTGATGTTATTTTTAGTTAAGTACCAATAAAAAAAAAACTTCACTTCTACTGTTCCACGTTAAGCACTTACCCAAAAATCTCTGCAATTACGATAATTCTTGAAGAAATCTCCACACTTATCACGATCGTAGTTCATATCACTCAGACAGTTATATGACAACTGCTGCTCCTAAAAACAAATGAAGAGTAAAGCAAATTGAACATTCAATTAAAATATTATATTTGTTTACACCTCTCAAGTTGCAGTAAATATGTTTATTGATTAAGACAATTTCATAAATATAAAGTGGGCAAATTATAAATACAATACTAAATTTATTAATAAGTGACATTAGATCAAACAATACTTTTTACATGTTATTTTTTCATAACTGCTTGACCCTACCTGGAAGCTTATAAATGTTGGTGTGTAAGTGGTACGTTAATGGTGAGATGAGGATAAGCTAATACCTTGGAGACTGTCATTACGTATTTTTACTTAAAATAGTGGCAGAGGAATAAACATGGCAAGTGAAAAAATAAACATAATTGTATTTATAAGATTTTCCAATAACCAAAAATAATAACTTGATCATATTATGAATAAATGGCTAGTACTTACTACCCTTTGCTTTTGAGAAGGCATGCAAGAGGAGTTTCTATGATAACCATAACTATTATCAGATACTTTAAACTTTTGTATAACTTATTGTTAGGCATTTATGTGACAAACAAAAGGCCAAATAATAAAGGAAAGAAAATGAAATTAATTTACTTATGTACATGTGGGAAAAGAGTTATTGAATAAAATGAGACACATGAAATTCTTGCCTGAAGACCTTTCAGACCCTTGCTGTACTGCTGTCACCACACTTAATGGAGGAAAACAATTAAAAATTTTATTCTTAAGTGTTATTTAATTATGAAGTCTAATTTAAATTTTGGTGTTAGTTCAACTTTATAACTGGAGATAAAAATAAAACCTATTCTTGAACAATTAGAATTGGAACCATCAACTTATTTACAGCACTTCTTACTTTTTTTTTAATACACTACTGATAAATGTTTCTCACAATGTGAGCCTTCAATGTGCATCAAATTTAAAACTGGTATTTGAATTTTTAATATCTACTTGGTTATAGCAGGTTTCCGTGCAGCAGGCCACTGTGTGTAGACATTCTTACATTTATCACATTTTTCCAAGCTGTTACAATATTATACTTTATTTTGTGATCAACTAAAACTTACTTTCATGTTTTTTTGAGGTTGATTTTAGGATATAGAAACATAACATACTCACTAGTTTATTTATTTATTTATTTTTAGTTTAAATAGTCTGCAGTCTCTGTGGGGTTCAATAAATTTCAATTCCATTCATCATGTATGCCATAACACAAAAAATTTCAATCTACACAGAAAGGGTAAGGTGACAAAACACTGATTAGAGTAAGCAATGTACTCAGAGCAAAACTAAAAGTTAAGATGGCCAATTTATATATACTTTTCTTATGTTTACTTATAAAGATTAGAAAACATTGTTTCATCAATCAGGTACTCTTGCTATTAATGATATTTTCAGCTGTAATCCCATTAATATCTCAAGACATTAAGCCAGCTTAAGAGATTTAGATTAGTCCTACAAAGACACTAAGAATGAAAAACTATCTTTAAAAATAGAAGTATAATAGTAAACAATAAATTAAAATAAAAAGTCTGTTTGATATACTAATTAGTACAACCAACAGTATTAATGAAAGCAACAATACATAAACTTAACATACTGCACCTGTTCAACAGTTAAAAAATGAAAACTCATTTCACATACTGTATGATTAGCTAAACCATTTCAAAAGTTAATAAATCATACCAGAAATAATTTTTCTGAAGACTGTTAAGTCAGCATCTGATTGTCAAATGTTTCAATACGTTAGCTAATATTCAAGTTTGTCTAGCTAACTGTACATTCCACACTCATATAGATGACCATATTTTGTAGACCACATTTGTACCTGAACTCACCATAATTCCAGAAGCAGGTAGTACTGTAGAAGTTTGCTGTATTAGTGCCATTTGTATCACTGATGATTGTATCTGCTTTACAAATTTACTGATAAAAATAAGATAGGACTGTCCCTGGAAATTGGAGATGTATGTTCGTCCTACCATAAATAGAAAAGCTCCTAACAATTTCAAAAATCTAAATTAAGTCATGTGAAATTATTTTATGGCTCCAAAGAAAACTTTGCACCTCTCCTTGTTTCAGTTTCTTAAATCGGGCTTTAAAATGTAGCCTGTTTCTGCACTCTTTTTCAACATATTGATCTGAATCAAACATTTAGCAATATATAGAGTGCATGTCTAATGGATTTGATGATTCAAATTGGTAATGAATATTCTTTAAATTGTATGATGGTTTTAACTTTGAAACAAAAAATATTTTAAAATATTTCTTTTGTGTAACAGTGATTCCTTTAATTACATTAATAATACTGATATGGTATAATTAGTAAAGACTGCTGATGACATTAAACTATTGGATATTTCCAGCTGTAATGAGGATGTTGAGTGACTACAGAATGCCTTGGATCAATTGGTAAGCTGGATATATGATTGGCAAATGACCTTTAATTATAACATGGATTATTATAATTTGGGTGACACATTTGATATGGTATTTAACTCATCAATAGTAAGACTGGAGAAAAGAATATTGGCAAAATGCACTGTTGCTAGCAAGTAAAGCTAATTAAAAGTAGTTTTCTGCCTCATCTGGGGAATACTGTGCACACTTTTGGTTTCCCTTTCTAAGAAAGGATATTGACTTATTGGAAAGGATTCACAAGAGGGCTATTAGGACTATTCCATGGATGTAAGGGTTATCTTAAGGGGATAGATTAAGATTCTTATTTTCTATTAAGAAAAGAAGGTTAAGAGGAGATCTTATTGCAGTTTAATAGATTATTGAATAGATTAATAAGCTAAAGACCTCTGATTTCTTTGTGAGATATTCTGAAGATAACAGAGTGAGAGGACAAAATTTTATGATTTGGAAAAAGACAGATTATGCTCCAGTTAAAACAGATTTCTAACAGGGTAAATGACTTGTGGAATGAGTTTCCATCAGCAGTAGTCAATATAAGACATGGTGGAGGAAGGAGAAGAATAACAACTCCAAAACAAGATCACTACTTGACCATCCATGATTGAAAGAATCACTTTGCTCCAGCTGTTAACCTCTGTAACTCCTTCTAAGATGCCAAAGGAGTCCGAATTCTACACAGATAGTGCACAGATGCCTTCACAAAGCTCAGTTGAGGGCTAAACATCCTGCTGTTCATGTTCTTTTAAGCTGTCATGACTTCAGTGGGCTAGAGAACACAGGAGGTGGACTGCACAACAATGGAGGGCTGTACTCTTCACTGGCACGTCTTGCTACTGTGTGGACTTTCTTGACAGATGCAGGAGAGTTTGAAGATGCCCTTGTGAGCATAATTTGCCTCAGAATGTCATCGAACATGATCGCTTTGGAGAAGGCTCAACTGAGGAGGCATCACAATTGCAGGCCATACCGACCTTGTAATCATCTGAAGTGGAAGTCTCACTGGCCTAAGATACAGAGATGAGATCATTGCACCCATTGTTCATCTATATGCAGGTGCAACATGGCCACACTTCCTGCTTATGGATGACAATGCACATCCACACTGTACAATGGCAGTGACTGCCTTCCTGGAAGCTGAGGGAATTCCCAGGATGGAGTGGCCAGCTAGGTTTCCTGACCTCAACCCAACAGAGAACATCTGGGAGCTGTTACAGACAAGGCTTTAAGCTTGTCAAGCCCCATCAAGAATGCTCCAGGACTTGGAAGCTGCCCTTATTGAAGAATGGCAACAGATTCTGCAACAACGATTGGCTAATCTGATCATGAGCATGTGCAGATGTTGTGCAGCAGTCATTAATGCTCAAGGTGGTCACACAGACTACTGAAATCAGCTTGACTGTGAAATGGACACTTCTTTCAATGACTGTTGTTTATGAAATTTTTTTTGTTAACTTTGTACTACAGGGTGCATCAGTTCCTCAGGCTCTGTTATCCAAGTTAAATGTTACAGAATATAATAAAGTGTAAAAATGACTTATCCAGGCATTTTTTTTCCTAAAATTTTCAATCTATACATACCATTGTGGTAGGTGTTTGACATATACTCAAAATAAAACATGATCCATAGCAAATGTTGATTACAGTAGGCACAGTTATATTGTTTAAAATCAATTATTTTGCCTACTGATTTCCTCTATGTATTTAAGACAAACCAAAATCTTTGAAGCTGTTTGAACCTCATTAAATATTATTACAGTGAGGATTCTCAATTAATGATTTGGTACAGTCTAACCATTATTAGGTTTAATTTTTTGTTGTGCTGATTAGTAACATTAAAGTATCTCAAGGAAGTTTTTGTAATAGAGGATAATCTCATTGTACATGCTATTTTCTATTACAATATCTTTGTCCTAATCTATACAGTTAGTTTTATTTTGATCAAAGTTCATAATCATTAATATGCAATTATACATTTTGTACCCAGTTTCCTATGAATACAAAAAATAGTGGCTGAAGGCCACTTACTACTAGCCATATGGGGTCACCCCTCACTCAAAATAACAGTAATATTGAAATCCAGCTCTTTATATTCATATACTAATAAGAAAAAATTTATGACCAACGTTTCTTATATTTATATCAATCAATCATGCTGACACTGGATATAAAGACTGAAGCATGCAAATATTGGGACTAAAAACTTAAACAAGCATTCCACACTTCTATTCTTGGAGAAGAAAAAATACTTTTTAATTGTAAAATTTTGAACTGTACAATTCATCTTAAAAAACAAGTTTTAATGAATATCATTCTTAGAATAAAAATTTGAAATAGATTTTTCATATTGAAATACTTCCATTAGGATAGAGATAGTGGTAGGGCAAATACGATTTTAAGTCATATTTACAGTAACATATAATTCGTTGGTTAGGCCACATCTGGAGTATTTTATTCAGTCTTGGGCTCCTTACCTTAGGAGAGACATTGAATTGTTCAAAAGGGTACAGAGGAAGGTTACTAGAATGGTGCCTGGTATGCAGGCTTTGCCATATGAGGAGAGATAAAGATCTTTGAAATTGTTTTCTCTTGAGTTAGAGGGGATCTGATTGAGGTGTTTAAGATTATAAAGGAAACTGATAGTGCTGATACATCATCTTTTTTTCATATTTAATAGTGAGAATAATAGGACCAGGGGACACAAATATAAACCTTGGCAAGGTAGGAGTCATCTTCAGCTAAAACAGTTTTATTTTTTAACAGGGTAGTTGGCCTCTGGAATGGAAGGCCTTCTGATGTTGTGGAAGCAGTAAATTTAAGTGAGTTTAAGAGAAGGCTTAATAACTACATGAATCATAAGGGCTGGCTTTAAGGTTATTTTTTAATAGGTTTAATTTAGAGGATGAGACAGCCGAGATGGATCAATAGGTCCCTTATTGTCCCTAAACATTATACGAAATATATGGCAATAAGCAGAACAAGGCTTAATATTTGAAATAGCATCTTTAGAAAAAAATATCTGTAAAATAAAAACTAGTTTTGTCAGGTAAAATATACAGTTAAAAAGGTTTACAAGCAAGTTCAGTGTAATGAAATAAAATAAAGGAAATGGAGGATTTCCTTTCTCCATAAACACACAAGTGTGTAATGCTCTACATGTACTCTCAATTTTAATACTTGATTCCTTATGCCTAGAGTTAACATAGATGGCTGCAGCCATACTAATGCACTGACCTTTAGTCTTACAAAATTTGATCACTTCTCATGGCCCAAAGTGCAAATCTCACTCGTTTTATGTTCAATCAGTCTAAGCCTTAATTATTTCACACATTATAATCTTGTGGTCAATGAAAAGTCATGGAGAAAATCACTCTTTCTCCTAGTAGCTTTTACTATTGAATGAAAACATAAGCACATCTAAATCATTCATCTTCTCTTGTAAAAGCAGTACACAGGTTCTGAACAGCACAGTGATTTCTTAATTCATGCACTTAGAACTTGTTTATATGACACTATCCTGATGATAAGTTGTAAATTGTACATCACAATAGCTCATTTTTTTCCACCTTTTTTTTATTTCCTTTATGTATACTGTAATCACTGTTACTTATAAGCATACAACTTCAAGGCAGATATAGTTAGATAGCACTGAGACTGATTCTCTTGCATCAGAAACAAATAAAGTCAGGAAACAAAATTTCTCTTTTTTGCTATAGCATGCAGGCAATAAAAATCCAGAGCTAGTAGCTCCACTAAATATCACAGGGATTTTTTCTTCCATACCCATTCAAATATTATTGCTGTATATGAGTAATGCAACTTTGTATTGCAACATCCTTTGTTTTTCATTCATATATTAAACTTTCTAATCTTCACACTGTGATAATTAAATCCTTAAGAATGCACTATTTGGCCTTATCAGAAGAAAAAGCTTTTGTGGGGGGGGGGGGGGATAGGCCCCCAGACTCCCCAATACAAGAGAGACTACAAATCTTACTGTTGGTTTAATCAGCCATGACATCTCTTCACTAAATGTAAGTTTGTATATTTGCAGTTAAGCACAAAGCTACACAATGGGCTATCTGTGCTGTGCCAAACATAGGTATTAAAATCCAGTTTTTAGCATATAACTATAAGCCCACAGACTTACTGCTGAGCCACTGGGCATCACTAAATTTAAGAAACAGTAGCATGAGTTATATGGTAATCTATATACTTATCCAACAGTATATATTTTAAGAGAAATACAACTTACCACACATATCAAATTATTAACGCAAACCACTCAAAAAGTTACAATTAATTGAGTCTACCCTTCAAATCTTTAAAACAACCCACTACTGATAGTGTGATAGACCCAAAAGTTTTGGCAGCGTAACTGTTTGAAAAATTATTAATAGTAATACTAATACTATATTAATTTAAGTAGTAACTACTGAATACTTTAAAAGTTCTAACATCCTATAGACTACCAGTACCACTACTATTACTAGTAGTACTAAAAATAATATTTAATTCTAACATTGTAACTAATTGCTAAATAATAATTAGTAAATACTTTAAAAGTTCTAGCATCCTAAAGTACAGACTATCAGTATTAGTAGTAGTACAACTGTACTACTCTGTAGCACTAACACTGCAGCAGTACTACTACTAGCTATTTTAAAGTATTCACAAATTATTATTTAGTAATAGTAGGCCAGCTGTTTAAACTTACTTTTAAGCATGGATTATTGTATTCACTTGAAAGATGGGAGCCCCTTCTTATAATTTCTTGTCTTTCCTTTTCGTTTTTCGAACGAGGTAAATCAGCTGTATTTGAAGAAAACATATCTATAAATTAAATTTTATAACAACATAAGATTAACAATGTTTCGAATACATAGTATCACTCATCCTTACCCAAACCTATCGTTATGAGACGATAAAAAATTCAACATTTCTATAATTTTACTCGTAAGTGTTTAAACATTTAAAACATAATACCGTCGTAGTTCAAAATATATGCAATTTTAAAGTAGAAAATTTAATGTACTAGCGATAATTATATGTCAGTGAAAAACTACAATCAATAATCACTGTTCAAATTTGGGAAGGTTTTTTGTGGACAACTCCTATCGGTGTCTGTTGGTTACAATGTTTCAGTTCCAAGCTGCAGCATAATACTAAAACCTTCAAAAATCACCGTTGAATTAAAATTAGTTTGCTTGTTTATTATTAAGCCCAAAGCTACACAAAGGGCTATCTGTGCTTTGCCCATCACGGTTATCGTAACCCGGTTTCTAGCATGATAAGTCCGCAGACATACCACTGTGCCACTGGGGGGCCAATTTAAAATTAGTATACAATGTATATTTTTCATCAAATTTGCCTACAAATATCACAATCAACGACATATTTTGGTTGTTTCGAAGAGAGTGTAGACTCAACCTCTTTGCCTGTTGAGTAAATATTTTCATCCCATTCCTCGTTTCAGATCTTTCTATCAACCATTCGCTGCTTACTGAATAATATTTTGAAATGATACAGCCTTCCGTTTATATTTTATATAACATTTTTCTTCTATTTCGTTTTTAAATTCTTTATGCTATTGCTTAATTACTGGACTTTTATGCAGTTGCCTGTTCCAGCATCTTTATAACTTCTGAACGTTAAGGTCATAGCGCGTATGTAAGAGCTATTTGTTCAGCAAGGGCGTATTTGGGCATCGGTTCACGGTGACCCGAGTATTTTATATACACTATAATATATTACATTACAATTATGTTTCAATTATTTTTGGAGTAATTGTTTTCTTGTAGCCCAAGTTCGAAATTTTTTCGATAGCTAGCGACGACCCAACTGTCCTGTAACTGAAGTGATTGCCACCTCGACGACGGCCCGGCATGGCCAGGTGGATAAGACGCTC